GACTGGTGGTGAGCGCGCAGGGCGTGGGTGTGGGCGTCTTTCTGGCAGCCTTCATCCTCACCGCCGTGGCAGGCAACCTGCTTGTCATCCTCTCGGTGGCCTGCAACCGCCACCTGCAGACGGTCACCAACTATTTCATCGTGAACCTGGCCGTGGCCGACCTGCTGTTGAGCACCACCGTGCTGCCCTTCTCGGCCACCATGGAGGTCCTGGGTTTCTGGGCCTTCGGTCGGGCCTTCTGCGACGTGTGGGCAGCCGTGGACGTGCTGTGCTGCACCGCCTCCATCCTCAGCCTGTGCACCATCTCCGTGGACCGGTACGTGGGTGTGCGCCACTCGCTCAAGTACCCGGCCATCATGACGGAGCGCAAGGCGGCAGCCATCCTGGCGCTGCTCTGGGCCGTGGCTCTCGTGGTGTCTGTGGGGCCGCTGCTGGGCTGGAAGGAGCCCGTGCCCCCTGACGAGCGCTTCTGCGGCATCACGGAGGAGGCCGGCTACGCTGTCTTCTCTTCCGTGTGCTCCTTCTACCTTCCCATGGCGGTCATCGTGGTCATGTACTGCCGCGTGTACGTGGTCGCGCGCAGCACCACGCGCAGCCTGGAGGCCGGTGTCAAACGCGAGAGGGGCAAGGCCTCGGAGGTGGTGCTGCGCATCCACTGTCGCGGGGCGGCCACCGGACCAGACGGGGCGCGCGGCGGAACACGGAGCACCAAGGGCCACACCTTCCGCAGCTCCCTCTCCGTGCGCCTCCTCAAGTTCTCCCGCGAGAAGAAGGCAGCCAAGACCCTGGCCATCGTTGTGGGTGTCTTCGTGCTCTGCTGGTTCCCCTTCTTCTTCGTCCTGCCACTTGGTGAGTGACCCCTCCCGCTTGGCCCTGCCCTTCCTCCCCAGTTTGTGGTTGTGCCTTCCTGGCAGAGGAGGGTGACCCTTCACCTGATCAAGTTGATTTAGCAACTTGCCTGGTCTCTTACTTTGTAGAAGGAGAAGAGAGGCTCTTCGTACTTGCAGGTTTCGTTTTACAGCGTACTTTGCTGTCTCTCCCTCTTTGTTGCTATTTACAAACCCTGGCCTTGTTTCATGTTTCCAACTCTATCAAAAATTTGTGGAAATTTGTGCAGAAACTTTCTGCTCCTAGTATGTGGTCAGCAGTGTCTGTGACCCTCTACATGTACTCCTTGCCAGAATAGGTACGGGAGTAGGTGGGCCAGTGTGTGTTCATTTGTGGGCAGCAGGCCTGGACCAGTCACCACACACATCAGCAGACATCAGGTGCTGCCTGCTGTCCCCAACACGTATCTGGTTGGAAACTGGTCTGGGCTGGGATCTGTAAGAGGGCCCTGGGCCTTTCTGAATCTCCTCCTGGTGGGGGTGGGAAAAGGTTTGTGAGTATGCCAAGGAAAGGAAAAGACAGATTTTCAAATGAACAGTTAATCCTGCTTCTTACATTTACTGAGTGCATTTGAATTCTGGGGACCTTTCCTGTTTCCTTAACAATTTGCCCTGCAGTCCTGGGAGGTAGATAGCTGTTCTCAGAGGCTTCTTCCCACCTCTCATGGCCTCTCCTGGAAGCCCTGAAGCAAGATGTGGGGGCTGGACCAGCATAGGTCGAAGGGGACTGCCCTCCGGGGACATTTGCTCTGCGTCACTTTGCCCATGGCCCCTCACACCTAGTGAAGCTGAGTCAGGGAAGATACAATGGCCTCCCTCCTGCTCCCTGCAGGCCTCCTCCACACAGCAGCCATGGTGACCTTTATACTTTATAAATTAGCGGTGCCACTCTCCTCCCAGGTCTCTCAATGCCTTCCCACTGCCCTGGGAACAAAATCCAAACTCTCTTCCAGGACCCAGGGAAGGTGGCCTTCAAATTTGTTATTATCTACACCAAAATAGGACCACTAGGTATTTATATTACAACCACAGGCATGAACTGGGACCTCTCTCTGCCTTGCCGCTGGTCACCGCATGTGCCTGTGACCCCTTCTGACCCTCTCCTGGTTTCTTGCCAAGTCCTTGGCTGTCTAGGGGCCTTTGCACTTGCTCTTCTCCCATCTGGACCACCCTGACCCCTCCTGGCTTACTCCCCATCCTTCAGGTCTTTGCTTAAATGTCCCTCTTCTTAGACCATCAGTCTCAAGTTGTGTCCTTCTCCCTGTTCTCTCTCTGAGAGTACAAAGTCCTCTTTCCTCCCTAGATCATCAGTTATAATGACATCTGTGTGTGTCACTGGGTTTGATGTTTGACTCCACCACTGGCCCCCGAATCTCTGTGAAGGCAAGGCCCATTAACTGTGTCATTGCTGCCCCAGCAACAGTGTCTGGTATGTGACGAGCAATAGAGTGTCACAGTATGGTCACTGGCTCTAGTGCCAGACAAGCTGGTTCAAATCCCAGCTCTGCCTTTTACTGGCTGTGTTAGATCAGGCAAATCCCTTCTCTTCTCTGTGCCTCTATTTCATCATGTAGGAGTGGTGATGATAATTCTGGCCTGGAGGGCTGTTCTGAGATCCAGTGAGTTGTGTATATGAATGTGATTGTGGTACTTAGTGAGTGTCAGGTACACTGGCACCCAGCTCAGGGTGAGGAATGAGCGAGGCGACCACTTGGAAATCATCCACAAAGGCTGCTGTGAGAATACAGTGAGGAACATTCTGAAAGCGACACACTTGGAGGAGGGGACAGTTAAGCACTTGTCATCCCCCCTTAACACCCTCCGTCCAGGCCAGGATTTACAGCTCCCCATGCTCCATGCCCACGCCCCTGCTCTGGCCTTCCCCAGCTGTTCCCCACTCTTCCTGCCCTGTGCCTGCCTGGTTGACACAGCCTCAGTAGGGAATGCTCAGCCTTTGTAACGGAAGCTGCCTCCCTTTCTATTTTTTAATTTTAATTTCCTTTAAAATTTTAGTTATAAAATAATGCACAAGTGAGAAGGAAATAATCTAACAAGCCCCCGCGAACCTTCACCCATCCCGAACAGATGTTAACATTTTGCTATATTTGCCTTAGATCTCCTCCTCTCGCTCCTTTCACGGGAACAGAACCCAGCTGCAACTCCCTGCCCTCCTCCCTTTCCCCTCTCTGCCTACCTCCCAAGAGTGAATTTGCCATTCGTCACTCCCATATATCTGTTTCTACTCTTATCAGAAACATCTGTATCCATAACAAAGTATAGCATTGCTTTAGGTGTCCTTAGAATTTATATCAGTGGTACCCGCTGTGCATATCATCCTTCAGCTGGCGTTTTCCACCCAACACTACGTCTTTGAGATTTATGCCGTGCTGGGCCATTTTAACAGCAGTACCTCTGAGAGCATTTCCATGGTGCATTGATCCAATCCCCCAATGAAAATTAGGTTTTTCTCATTTTTCACAATTACTATCAGTACTCCAAAGGACTACATCTGTTTTATGAAGTCTAGATCACCTGGCTCTGGCCCCTCTTCCAGGAAAATAGCCCTAAATTTCCATGACCTTGCTCCTTACTGGCACTCACAGCTCTTTTCAATCCCTACACTTCTGGCCCCCTTACACACAGCGTGGGGCCCTTGCCCAGGCACACACAGCGTGGGTGTGCGTGTGTGCATAGTTAAGCTATACACTTATGACATATGCCCTGGAGCTCGGGGATGCTGGGAGCAGACTGGAGTGCAGTTGGCATGAATGAGCAAACAGGACGGAGGCCAAGCAAGGAGACAGAATATTCCAATCTGCCCCATGTGACTTGAAGGGCAAGGGGGAGGGTGGAGGCTGCTGTGGGATCAGGAAAGGCTGGGTAGCAAGGAAAAGAGACAGGAGTCCTGACACCCCCAGGCCTGGGAGGGCATTGCCTTTAATGAACTGGGAAGGTTCTGAGCATTAGCCCTTTGGGGGGATCGTGTCCTCCAACAGGGTGGCATATCTTGATATGGAGGTGCTTATACACGGTGGTAGGAAGGATGTGGGGGAGTTGGACAGAAGGGACAAAGGTGGGATTCTTTCAGGAGCATGGGGTGCAACCTCCCAGAAAGAAAATGGTGGGAGAAGAGAAGAGACAGATGAGGGGCAGAGCCTTGGGAGCACCTGCTTTGAAAGAAACAAAGGAGGTAGAGAAAGAGGCAAGCAGGAGGGGCAGGATGGCTGCACAGGTGGCCTGTCCCCCCTCACAGGTCCTGGTGGCCATACCAGGTATGATGACTGTCAGAGATGGAAGAATTGGGAAAGAGCAGTATGTGTCTGAGAGGGCCACAGCCATGGCCATGAAGAAACCCCGGAGGACACCACACTCACACCTCCCCAA